TTAAAAAATGGACTTTTGTTTTTATTCTTGGGTTTTATTTTACTTTGTGTTTATTTCTTTTCCAGCAGGGTGGCATAAAAATGGAAGAGCAGGGACCCAGGAGACCCATTCAAAGGGAGAGACTGGAGTGCAAAGGAAAGAAACCTCCTGCCGGCCAAGTTGGGACCATCAGGGATCTTCTGCCTCGGGCAGATTTATGTCAGATTAAGCAGGAGCCAGAGGAGGGGCAGCCGCAGCAGCACTGGGAGGCCCAGAAGCAGGATTTCCTGAAGACGATGCAGCCCCCTCGTTCAGGGTGGGAAACCCCACAGGCTCCCAGTCCTCCCCAATCTGGGGATGGTGTCCTCCCTTTCAGGGGAGCTGCAGATGCCAGTTGGTGGCCCAGTGGGAGAGCAGGGGGGACAGACCAGACCCTGCTCCCAGACACTGAGGGGCTTCTGGGAAAGGTAAGTGCCCTCCTCTCACCTGGGTTTCCAGCACCTGGAGGTCACAGGTCCACTGCCTCTCAACAGCTATGGTGGTGGTTATTCCTCCTCCCTGCACTTTCTCTCTAATCCACTTTAAAAAGACTTGCTAGACCAAACTTTCTTACACATGGGAGGTTTGCGATCTTATCTCCTGATGTTCTTACTTTACTTAAACAGCTGCAGGGGACTCTGAATTTTATCAGAGCAGAAGCTACGTCAGAAGAGGTGATCTGCCACCAATCCTCATTTTCCTCCTCTAAATTGCCTTCATTTCCAAAATGCTCTTTTCTCCCCACTGAGGTAAATCTCTTGGCACGTCTTGCAGCCTCAGCGATCCCATGTGTACTTGCATTAAATAACACTGGCCTATTTTGCAAGGTTGTTGCAAGATTTATTAGGATAATGGTCAGGTTCAGGTGACTGAATCACAGCCTGAAAATCTGGGTTAAAAATAGGAACAGTTATTAATGCATTGCTGCAGCAAAGATACGATACAACCTAAATTGACTCAAGATTAAAACCAAAAACTCTAGCCACCACCGCAGTCTCCTGGCCCCCACAACCAGAATGCATCACTCCATGAAGGACCCCCACCCAACCTTTAGTGAGAGAGGGCAAAAGAAAAAGACTCTAAATGGGTAGTTGCACAAATTTACCAGGTGTGGTCCTGCACTGACAGCAAGGCTTACAAACGGGAGCTGGGAATGTGCTGGTCCCATCTCTCCCTGCATCTGCCTCCTGACCTAATTGTCCCAGCTTATCTCATGATTTGGCCGGCCCTGAGGGTGAACTGTGATGAAACCAGGCAATTTCTTATGAGCCATAGGTAACAAACCTTCCATTTTGCCCAAACCAGGAAACTGCAGCTGGCAGCTTTGGAATAAGCTGGGATATTAAGCTAACTTCAAACTCTGCTTGGTCAAAACAGGAAACTCTGGTTGATCAGTGGCTTCGTGGTTTGACTGTTCCCACTGATAGCAGTAAAAATAGGAAGCCCTGTTGCATTCAAAGGGGTTGTTTGGACAGAGTCTGTGATCAGCATGCCAATCAGGACAGGCTTAAAAAGGTAAAGGACCCCTGACCATTAGGTCCAGTCGTGGCCGACTCTGGGGTTGTGGAGCTCATCTCGCTTTACTGGCCGAGGGAGCCGTCGTACACTTTTCGGGTCATGTGGCCAGCATGACTAAGCCGCTTCTTGCAAACCAGAGCAGTGCACGGGAACGCTGCTTACCTTTCTGTCAAAGCGGTACCTATTTATCTACTTGCACTTTGATGTGCTTTCGAACTGCTAGGTTGGCAGGAGCAGGGACCGAGAAACGGGAGCTCACCCCGTCACAGGGATGCAAACCGCCGACCTTCTGATCGGCAAGTCCTAGGCTCTGTGGTTTAACCCACAGTGCCACCCACGTCCCAGGACAGGCTTAGGAAGCAATTATTATTATTATTATTATTATTATTATTATTATTATTATTACTTTCTTCCTGCCTATCTGACTGGGTTACCTCTGCCCATCTGGGTAGCTTCCAACAATATAAAAACAAGCAAAAATTTCCCTGTAAAAGGCTGCCTTCGGAAGTCTTCCATTTCGTAGAAATGGCCTTCAGTTTTAAAGAATCGCCCTCTTTAAGGAATCACGTGGTGTAAACATGTATGTTGTCCTCTAGGTCCAAACACACACAGACACACACATAGTAGGAACAAGCAGTGCTCCAAAGTGCTTATCTTGCAAACTTGCCATCTAAGTTGTTTACTCCTGACCAAAGTTCCTGTTTCCCAAAAGGACAGGAGGGGGAGCAGAGGAGGAAACGGATGGGTTTGAAGGCTCTTTCTGCCTCTCTCCCCTGAGAAACAAGAGCAAAGGGTGTTTGCAGGGCAGGAGGACAGAGGAAGAGGCAGCGAGGGCAGAGGGAGCAGTGGGCGGATCCCCCGCCTCTCCCAAGGGGTCCAGATGCAAGCAAGGGGCTTCCTTCTTCTCCATGCAAGGGCCACCCATGTATTCAGAGCAGTCCTTTGCAGATGAACTCTTAAGTTCCAAGGGATCTACTCTCAGGCCACTAATGTGCATACCATGCCAGCCTTAGGAAGGGAGGTGGGACAGGCAGGTGAAAGAAATTTGCAAGGGTGTTTGAAAATGGGTGGAGGATCTTGGGAAGGGGGTATCCAGTTGGGGTTTCTCCAGGGGCAGCAGAATGTCTTGGGCAGGAGAATCCCGGCAGGGCCTCTCAGACTCCCTTGGCTTCTTCTTCCCTCCCTCCCAGGAAGCTGCAACTTGCTTTGGATTCTGCGCTCCTCAGGAAGCTGAACCTGCAAACCTAGCTGAGACTGAACCTGCAACCCTGGCCAGGATGGAAGGAGGAAGATGGACGGTTGACCTGGTCAGGCTGTCTCCCGCATCCCTCCCCACAAACTCTGAGCATTCCCTCCCAGGACCCTTGGAGAAATCTGGTGAGTTCCAGAGGAGAGGAGATGGGGACAGGGATAGATGGATGGTGGAGGGAGAAAGAGGAAAAGATGGAGAGGAGACAAATGGAAGGAAGTTCCTGACAGGAAGAAGGAAGGGGTGAGGCCTTCTCCGAAGCAGCTCTTTGTTTCTTGAATCCTTTTCCTAAAGTAGTGGGGAAAGATTTTCTTCCTCCAGGCTTTGAAATCTTAGGTGTTATTTCCACGGTGGGAATAATTGATGATAATGATGTTGCACACCAATCCTAAAAAATGGGTGAAGGGGAACAGAAATGCTTCACATAATTATTTATAATTAATGTATTTAAATTGTTTCTATTACTCTTATTTTTTAGAGACAGGGTCAGAATGATAAATTCTACCAGCATCAAAACACAATAAATGCATGCACCTCCCCAGTTTGGTGGGGTTAAGGGACAAAGGACCAGTTATCATAATACAGGATTCCTGTAACTGGAGGCTCTACACTTAGGATTGGGCATATAAAGTACAAGAGCGGATGGTATTATAAGGAAATTGTGTAAATCTTACAGACTGGGGTTGTTTGTGAGAGTGAGTGAGTGGGATAATAATTTTAGCGCCCCTGTGTAATGGCTTGGTTCTCCTGCACAGACGCGAAACAACTCCAGTAGTAATTATCTCAGGCTTAATGCTCAAACTCACAAATCACTGTGGAGCTCAGTCTTCGGCCTGTTCCTCCCATCTTGCAGTTGCCGAGTCCTCCAGCAAAGAAGCCCCACTTTCGCTTTCTTTTCCCCTCTTCTCGCAGATTCTCTCGAGCCTCCGATTGTTTGGACAGGCTATTTCCGGGGTCTCTGTGTCAGACCTCAAACTGGAGCTGACGGTCTGTGTCCCCCCCCCATGGCACCCCCTCTTCCTGCTCTTTGTTCTTTGCTCCTGCTGCAGCTTGGCTGCTCCTCCCCTGCTTCACATTCCATAAGTACAAAAAGCCAACAAAGGGACTCAGAGGTTTATAGCGGCACCAGCTTTCCTGGTCAAGAGTCCACTTTGTCAGACTGCAGCCCACAAAAGCTTAGGTCATAATACATTTATCAGCTTTTAACGGCTGCAAAGATGAAAAAACAGAAGCATAGTTCATTTATGGAATCTATCCTACAGGAGACGGTTATGGCCAGAAACATGGATAGCTTGAAGAAAAGGATAAGACTGACGTCTCTGCTCTGCCCTCGCGGTCCTAGGCAATAACGCTTCTTAATACTAGTTTCTGGAAAGCACAGGAAGGCAGAGAAGACTCTTGTGCTCCAGTCCTGCTTGCCGGTTTCCCACAGGCATCTGGTTGGCCTCTGTGAGAAGAGGATGCTGGACTAGGTGGGCCTTTGCCTGATCCAGCAGGCTCTTCTTAGGTTCCAATACATTGCAATGTTTTTACAGTTACATGTAGCACTTAAGTTTTATTTATTTCACAAGGGAGATACCGTTACTTTACCCTGAGATCATTTCTTCACTTCAGAAAGTAAAAATAGATGTGTCTAAAAAGCCAATTCCACCATAGATCTGTATTATAAAATGATGGTGCTTTGCCAAGTGTGAATGGAGTGATCATGTGTTGCTCTTGCCATTATCTCATATTAATTCCTAAAAATTTGAAACCTAGAGAGGACAGTGGAGAATGGAGACAGTGTTAAAATGAGAGAAGGTGCAGACTGGGATTGACATGTGTGCAGTTCCCTTTTTGTCTTTCTTGAAAGTCTAACAGGATTCTCTTTCCTCCCAGACTCCCAAACAGGTGAGGAAGATGAAAGTCAGAATTCTATGGAGCCACATGTGAATTTATTGGGAAGAAGAAAGAAACTGAGGATACAACAACAAACTCACAAAGGAGAGAAACTATTTGAATGTATGGAATGTGGAAGGGGCTTCAGTGAAAGTGGAAAACTTAGAATATATCAACGAACTAATACGGGGGAGAAAGGATTTGAATGTTTTGAATGTGGAAAGAGCTTCAATGACCGTCGAACACTTAGAATACATCAACGAACTCACACAGGGGAGAAACCATTTAAACGTATTGAATGTGGAAAGAGTTTCAGTCAATATGGAGTCCTTAGAAGACATCAACAAACTCACACTGGGGAGAAACCATTTAAATGTATTGAATGTGGAAAGAGCTTCAGGCAATATGGAGTCCTTAGAAGACATCAACGAACTAACACTGGGGAGAAACCATTTAAATGTATTGAATGTGGAAAAAGCTTCGGTAAGAATGGAGCACTTAGAGTACACCAACGAACTCACACAGGGGAGAAACCATTTAAATGTATTGAATGTGGAAAGAGTTTCAGCGAAAGTGGAGCACTTAGAATACATCAACGAACTCACACAGGTGAGAAACCATTTAAATGTATTGAATGTGGAAAGAGCTTCAGTCAAAGTGGGGCACTTAGAATACATCAACGAACTCACACAGGGGAGAAACCATTTAAATGTATCGAATGTGGAAAGAGCTTCAGTCATAGTGGGGCACTTAGAATACATCAACGAACTCACACAGGGAGAAACCATTTAAATGTATCGAATGTGGAAAAAGCTTCAGTGAAAGTGAGAAACTTAGAATACATCAACGAACTCACACAGGTGAGAAACCATTTAAATGTATTGAATGTGGAAAGTGCTTCAGTGAAAGTGGAGCACTTAGAAGACATCAACAAACACACACAGGGGAGAAACCATTTAAATGTATTGAATGTGGAAAAAGCTTCAGTCAAAGTGGGACACTTAGAATGCATCAACGAACTCACACTGGGGAGAAACCATTTAAATGTATTGAATGTGGAAAGAGCTTCAGTGAAAGTGGGAAACTTAGAATACATCAACGAACTCACACTGGGGAGAAACCATTTAAATGTATTGAATGTGGAAAAAGCTTCAGTAAGAATGGAGCACTTAGAAGACATCAACGAACTCATACCGGGGAGAAACCATTTAAATGTATTGAATGTGGAAAGAGCTTCAGGCAATATGGGTCCTTAGAATACAGTTCATACAACTCACACAGAGGGGAAAACCATTTAAATGTATCGAATGTGGAAAGAGCTTCCAGTCATAGTGGGGCACTTTAAATACATCAACGAACTCACACAGGGGAGGAAACCATTTAAATGTAGTCGAATGTGGAAAAAGCTTCAGTGAAATGAGAACTTAGAATACATCAACGAACTCACACAGGTTGAGAAACCACTTAATAAATCTATTGAATGGTGGAAAGTGCTTCAGTGAAAGTGGAGCACTTAGAAGACATCAACGAACACACACAGGGGAGAAACCATTAAATGTATTGAATGTGGAAAAAGCTTCAGTCAAAGTGGGACACTTAGAATGCAAATCAGCAACTCACATGGGGAGAAACCATTTAAATGTATGAATGTGGAAAAAGCTTCGGTGAAGCTTCACTAAGAATGGAGCACTTAGAAGACATCAACGAACTCACACTGGGGAGAAACCATTTAAATGTATTGAATGTGGAAAAAGCTTCGGTAAGAATGGAGCACTTAGAGTACACCAACGACTCACACAGGGGAGAAACCATTTAAATGTATTGAATGTGGAAAGAGTTTCAGCGAAAGTGGAGCACTTAGAATACATCAACGAACTCACACTGGGGAGAAACCATTTAAATGTATTGAATGTGGAAAGAGCTTCAGTAAGAATGGAGCACTGAGAATACATCAACGAACTCACACAGGGGAGAAACCATTTAAATGTATCGAATGTGGAAAAAGCTTCAGTGAAAGTGAGAAACTTAGAATACATCAACGAACTCACACTGGGGACAAACCATTTAAATGTATTGAACGTGGAAAGTGCTTCAGTGAAAGTGGAGCACTTAGAAGACATCAACGAACTCACACAGGGGAGAAACCATTTAAATGTATCGAATGTGGAAAAAGCTTCAGTAAGAATGGAGCACTGAGAATACATCAACGAACTCACACTGGGGAGAAACCATTTAAATGTATTGAATGTGGAAAGTGCTTCAGTCAAAGTGGAGATCTTAGAATACATCAACGAACTCACACAGGGAGAAAACCATTTAAATGTAATCGACATGTGGAAACAAGCCTTCCAAGTGACAAGCTGAGAAACTTAGAATACATCAACGAACTCACACAGGTGAGGAAAACCACTTTAAATGTATTGAATGTGGAAAGTGGCTCAGTGTAAGTGGATCACTTAGAAGACATCAACGAACTCACACAGGGGAGAAACGATTTAAATGTATTGAATGTGGAAAAGCTTCAGTCAAAGTGGACACTTAGAATACATCAACGAACTCACACTGGGGAGAAACCATTTAAATGTATTGAATGTGGAAAGAGCTTCAGTGAAAGTGGAGCACTTAGAAGACATCAACGAAACACACACAGGGGAGAAACCATTTAAATGTATTGAATGGTGGAAAAAGCTTCAGGTCAAAGGTTGGACACTTAGAATGCATCAAATGAACTCACACTGGGGTGGAAACCATTTAAATGTATTGAATGTGGAAAGAGCTTCAGTGAAAGTGGGAAACTCTAGAATACATCAACGAACTCACACTGGGGAGAAAACCATTTAAATGTATTGAATGTGGAAAAAGCTTCAGTAAGAATGGAGCACTTAGAAGACCATCAACGAACTCATACCGGGGGAGAAACCATTTAAATGTATTGAATGTGGAAAGAGCTTCAGGCAATATGGAGTCCTTAGAATTACATCAACGAACTCACACAGGGGAGAAACCATTTAAATGTATCGAATGTGGGAAAGAGCTTCAGTCATAGTGGGGCACTTAGAAACATCAACGAACTCACACAGGGGAGAAACCATTTAAATGTATCGAATGTGGAAAAAGCTTCAGTGAAAGTGAGAAACTTAGAATACATCAACGAACTCACACAGGTGAGAAACCATTTAAATGTATTGAATGTGGAAAAGCTGCTTCAGTGAAAGTGGAGCTTAGAAGACATCAACGAACTCACACAGGGGAGAAACCATTTAAATGTATTGAATGTGGAAAAAGCTTCAGTCAAAGTGGGACACTTAGAATGCATCAACGAACTCACACTGGGGAGAAACCATTTAAATGTATTGAATGTGGAAAGAGCTTCAGTGAAAGTGGGAAACTTAGAATACATCAACGAACTCACACTGGGGAAAACCATTTAATGTATTGAATGTGGAAAAAGCTTCATAAGAATGGAGCACTTAGAAGACATCAACGAACTCACACTGGGGAGAAACCATTTAAATGTATTGAATGTGGAAAAAGCTTCGGTAAGAATGAAGCACTTAGAGTACACCAACGAACTCACACAGGGGAGAAACCATTTAAATGTATTGAATGTGGAAAGAGTTTCAGCGAAAGTGGAGCACTTAGAATACATCAACGAACTCACACTGGGGAGAAACCATTTAAATGTATTGAATGTGGAAAGAGCTTCAGTAAGAATGGAGCACTGAGAATACATCAACGAACTCACACAGGGGAGAAACCATTTAAATGTATCGAATGTGGAAAAAGCTTCAGTGAAAGTGAGAACTTAGAATACATCAACGAACTCACATGGGGACAAACCATTTAAATGTATGAACGTGGAAAGTTGCCGTTACGTGGACTGCCGTAAGGTGTGGAGATGAACATTTTGAGGACGTGAGTTGCAATTTGAAGAAGTGTGAGTGGAATTTGACATCATCTGGAGGGGCAGCAGGTTTACCAACAGGTACTGTTCTTCAGCGCTTGACTTCCCTGGCGCAGTTGCCCGTTGGACTCCCGTACTGAAATGTGGCTTTCGCCTGTGTTGCCTGTGCAGGTGGGAGCTTCTTCAGGACGGGAGGGCCTCACCACAA